GCTCACCATGAACCCCCCCACCCCCCCATCCCAGAAAGTTATCCCCCAGGAGTGTGGTACCCAGCTTGGGTGGAAACCAGAACTTCTTGCCAGCTTCTTAAAGTGACAGTTGTCTCACCCAACTGAATCAGAATGTACAAGAGTGGGATTCAGGACTGTGTGGTTGAGGCAGCAGTTTGTAAAATACCTGGGGCAGCAGATATTTTGTGAACACTTTAGAAATGATTGTTCCCAGTGGGGCACCGCACACACCTGTAATTCCAGCTACTTGGGAGGCTGAAGCAGAAGGATCACAAATTCAAAGCTAGACTCAGAAACTTAGCAAGACCTTGTCTGTTTCTGTTTTTGTTTTGTTTAAGATGGGGCAGGGAAGGCTGGGGCTGTAGCTCAGTGGTAGAGCACTTGCTCTTGGTTCAATCCTCTGCCTCAAACAAACAAAAAAAAAAAAAAGAAAGAAATGTGTGTTCTCAGCCCCACCCCCGACCTCCTAAGTCAGAGAACTTTGGGCAAAGGCCAGGCTGTCTGGTTTAATAGGTCCTCTGGGGATTCTAGTGCACACTCAAGTTTGAGAAGCTCTGCTCTCGGGCATCTCTTTGGGTCAGAGTGTTGCACAACAGAGAATATTTTTTCTAAGCCACAGCTTGGAGAAAGTGCCCAAATGAATGTTGTTTGATAATTTTTCTACCCTGCAGTTCTGGACTAACCTCTCCTGCTGCTCCTCTGTTGACACATAATTCCTCAGAACCCTTTGGAAGGTCTCCCTGGGTCTGTTCTCTCCCAACTCTCCCAGGAGCAGTTGTCCTTTGCTCTCCAGCCAGGCGCCCAGCAGCCTTCAGGACCCATCTGAAATTTTCTTCCTGAAAGACCTGCTTTTTATTTTTTTATTTTTTTTTGTACTGGGAATTGAACCCAGGAGATTTTACCACTAAGCCACATCCCCAGTCCTTTTTTTAATTTTGAGACAGGGACTTGGTTATCAAATGCTGAGACCAGCCTCAAACTTGCTGTCCTCCTGCCTCAGCCTCCCAAGTAGCTGGGATTATTATAGGTTTATACCATTACACCCAACCCTGAAAGCCCTTTTTAAAACTTTCCAATAGAAATTAAGTGCCCATTGTATTCATTTCGGTCTTTCTCATAGTTTTTGTATTCACTTTACATAACAAGGCTTTTTGTGATCGTGGTCAGGTAATTTAACCTGTTTCCTCATAGGAATGAGAGAGAATAATAGGTAAATAGTAATGAGAATAATAGCTACAAGTGTGGCACACACCTGTAATCCCAGCAACTTGGGAAACTGAAACAGGAAGATTCCAAGTTCGAGACCAGCCTCAGCAACTTAGTGAGATCCTATCTCAAAATAAAAACTAAAAAGGGCTGGGGATGTAGCTTAATGGTAAAGTACCCTTGGGTTCAATCCCTAGTACCAAAAAAAAAAAAAAAAAAGAAGAAGAAGAAGAAGAAGAAAAAATAGAGCCTACTTAGTTAATAGGTTATAATGTGCTCAGAGTAACATACAACAAATATCAATTCTTTTTTTTAAAGATGGTACACAATATCTTTCTTGATTTTATTTATTTTTGTGGTGCTGGGGATCAAACCCAGTGCCTCACATGTGCAAGGCAAGCACTCTACTGCTGAGCTATAACCCCAGCCCCAACAAATATCAGTTCTTAAAGTAGTGTTTATTTACTGCATTAAGTAATGGGTATACAATATTCTATAATAACAGAATAATGGATGGCAACACAAATACTCAACAAATGTTAAGTTTGGTCACTAACACTTTTAGGTCACTAAGCATTTTATAATTTTTATAGTTATCTTCTCATTATTATTTTATACTTGGATAACCTTCTGTTAGTCTTAGATCTCTTTGACATCAGATCATTCTTTCTCCATTCTGAATCTGAATATCTCGCAAAGTACATAGCATGTGCTCAGTTAATATTCACACTGGGCTCACAGGCAGTATGGATCAAGAAGTGTCCAAGGAACCCTTGCTGGGCATGTCCCTTTTTTTGCTTTTCTTTGGTGTGGTTCCCTCTCCACGACCCCAAAGAAAGCCCCTGAGTCTGGATGTGCAGCTCTTGAGCACAGCAGACTATATACTCATGAAAACATGTCTTTCAGATAACACTTTCCTCTGAAAATCATCCAGAATGGCCTAGATCGTTTTTCCTGGTTTTAATTACCTTTTTAAGAACAGATCTCTGAGCCATGTTCCTGACTCGTCACCAAACAAATGAAATTCCTTTTTAATGAAGTATTGTCCTCAGGAAGCAGTGGGTGGGAAGGACAGGAAACCAAGGGGAGCCTCTTTTCTGGACTTCATTGTAATGGGGTTGGGAGTTTTAGGCACTGAATATGAAGATGACAAGAAGGTCCAGGATCCCCACTCCTGCTGCTTGGTGGATGACTGCCGCCTGCTCCAGCCAGGACTTTATGGAGTCTGAGTTAATAACTGAGGGCAGATCTACAACTACAGGTGGCAGATGGTGCCCTCCATGGGCCTCATTATTGCAGCCTTAGTCCCCACTCTGCCTCCTAGACTTCCTTTTTGAAAAAATTTGATGTTTTTTTATTACATATTTCAAATTCCTGGGTTACTGCAAGCCTGTGTAATTTTTAAATTTCAAATAAGTTTTCCAAGTGTTAGCTTCATCTTTTACATTCTATTGGTTTATGATAGTTTTCTAAAAGTCAGCGGAGTTCACTGAGTAACACTGTGATGATGAATGGAAATAGCAATTTCTATCTTAAACGCTCCCTGGGAAGCCTTTATAAGATAAACTCATTAACTTTGGGGATAGACTTGCAAGTTAGGGATTTTCAGAGAATGCTATAGATGTAATATCTAAATTTTAGGACTGATGAAGTCAGTCCTAATATTCTTATAGATAAAACTCAGGGCAGAATGGGACCATTGGAGAATGGAGAATGACAGGAACCAATAGAGCTGGTTAATGAACTGATTAGGGCTTGCAGTGTGGGGTCAGCAGCAGGGGCAGGCACAGAACCAGCCTTAACACTCACCCAGGCCTCTGTCCTCCACCAGACCCAGTGAACATTATTAGTAATTTGATTTTGGTATTTATCGCATGCCTATGACATTGAAGTTTCCCCAATTTCTGTTAGATGATGACTTCATTATATAAAGAACCAAGTCCTGGGAGTTGCCCAAGACTCCTCCCCTGAGTCAGCCACTGCCACAAATCCGGCCTATTTTATCTCCTTTAGTGCTTTAAACCTTCCTTCTTTCTCTCCATTCTGTCTCAGACCATTTTCTGCTGTTGTACAGAATATCATAAACTGGGTAAAATATAAACAGTTGAAATTTATTCAGCTTTCTCGTCAAATGGCTGGCAGGTCCAAGACCCAGGGGCTACATCCAGCTCATCTTTCTGTGTCATAACATGGCGGAAGGGAGAGGGTAAGAGAGGGGTGAATTTATAACTGGCCCACTCCTGCAACAGGAGGGCAGAGCCCTCGTGCCAATCACCTCCTCAAAGCCCTCTCCCCTTAATACTGTTAGCATGGCAGTTAAATTTCAACACGCATTCTGGAAGGGACATTCAAAGCATTGCACCTTCCTTCTTCTGGGCCCTCATCGTTTCTCTGCTGCACTGCCCCCTGAGCAGTAAGAACCCCTCACCTGGCCATGTTGCTGAAAGCATTCCCTTGCCTGCAGGCTCCTTCAAGTGTCTAGGAGGAACTCTGCATCCTGCCTCATGTGTCTTCCCCAGCCTCATCTCCTGCTCTTCCCCGTCTTGGTATGTTCAGTGCTCTCAGGGGACCTGTAGTTCCCACCTGCTCCCTTCTGGTTCATGCCTTTGAGCCTTTGCTCAGGTTCCTCTGCCTTGGGTGTTCCAACTCATTCTCGCCTCCTTTCCCTCTTGAGACTCAGGCTATCGTTTGTAACACCCTATTGGAATCATCTGTTCATGCATTTCTCTTTCTCTGTAAACCTCTTGAGAGCTGTGATTTTATTCTACTTAGCACCTAACACATAGGAAGCAGGATAGTGTTTTTTGATCAGAACAGAAAATACAAAAATCTCTCAACAACAAAAAGGCAGACCATAAAACTTAACAGGGAGATAAAATTTAACAGGGATTTACTTGAGATTTACTTGAGATTAAAACCAACGAAGAAAACAAGTCTCAACCTATGTACGGGAGTGCCAGGTGGGAGAAGGGTGACTCAGCCCCTCAGCAGAGCACAGGCAAGAAGGGCTGTGGTTCCAGCTGGCTAAATGCTCCGAATGAGTCAAAGGTGTGACCAGGGGTCTCATGGGCAGAACAAGGGAAGTTAGTTGTCCCGCTGGACAGACCATGCAGGAGTCACACTCTGTTCTGTGGGTCATACTTGAAGAGAGGAGAGGCCTGTCCAGAGGAATGCAGCTGGATAGTGAGAGGAGGTGAGCCCCAGCATGCAGGGAGGAAGGAAGAGGAAGAGGAGAGCGTGATCATTGTAATCAGATGCTTACAGAGCTCTTTGGGAACCTCAGAATGCAGAATCAGGCCAGCGAGTGGAAATTCCAAAAAGAACTGTATGTCAGGTCCATCTAGTGATGGAAGAAGCTGCCTATAAGCTCCAAAACCCCAATATAGAAGATTGGAAAGAGGTGCTGTAGAGGAGCTCTGAGAAAAAGTTTGGACTTTTTAGTCATCTTTGAGGCTCAATGATTCAGGAGGTTGCTGCGTTCATATTTATTGAATGCCAAGGAGTGGTTCAGAAGCACAGTTTCAGATAGTAATGCCTTTGTCCCTCTGGGGAGGATAATTGGGAATTACTTAAGTAGAAATCACTTCTGGGCCCAGAATCCAAATCCTAGTGGGCTAGGCGCCTACTACATAGTATCTATGAGATCTACTTAGGAAGGATATTCCATGATCCCATCCCTCCCAGTGGGTTGAGAGCCTTCTATTCTCTCGTGTCCTTTTGTGGAAAGTTGAATAAGATGATTACCTCTTTCCCTTTCCTTTTCTGCTTTTTAGTTCTGGAGAGTCTTGGCTTCTGGGAGGAAGTCAGACGGATCATCTCGGGATCAGAGCTAGTGACAGGATTCCCTTGTACCTTCAAGGTGCCAGGCCTGCCACAGTATCTCCAGAGCCTCACCAAATTAGCCCTCAGTGCAATGTGGGTAGTGCTGGACAAGACCAAAGAGCAAACAGGAGGTGTTCCTGTCACCTTCTCGCAGCTGCTAGAGTCTTCCTTTCCTGAAGTTCGCTTGCTGACATTGGAATCCCTGTTGGAAAAGTCCTCATCAGTAGCCTCTGGACCAGGAGAAAAGGGACTGCCATCCTTGCTGTGCAGCATGGGAGAGAAGTTCCTGCTGTTGGCAATGAACGAGACCCACCCAGAATGCTTCTGTAAGGTAAAGTCTCTGATGGACCAGTGTTCCCTCCACTCCCCGTTTTCAGGAAGAAGATGGCTTTGGACTCTTCGTATGGTAATGCATAGAAGGGTACTAAGAATGTAGTCGATGATGGTGGTATTGATAGCATAGATGTCCACCAAAAACAAGTCCCTCTGGGATGCTTAGAAAACAGATTATTGAAAATTGGCTATAGCTGGGGCTGGGGCTCAGTGACAGTACTCGCCTAGCATACCTGAGGCACTGAGTTTGATCCTCAGCACCACATAGAAATAAAATAAAGGTATTATGTCCACCTGCAACTAAAATATATATTTTTTTAAAAAGAAAAAAATTAGCTCTATCTATATCTATATTACCTGTATCTATAAATGTATCAGAGGTCATCTTTGCTAACATGCCAACTGAGGCAGCTGGCCACCTGGGAAACACAACCAAAAGTAAAGGGCACTGGCCTAGCAATCTGGGATTGCACAGATCATGAGTCACTAGAAGTTTGTCATTGCTTCATAGCACCTCAGTCCCTCAGAGGTTCTACAGGGAAATAAAAGGTCAGTTGGGAGCCTTTTGAAAGATAGGCTTCCTTATTGGTACAAGCAGTTATTATTTAGCAGCTGGAGTCTTTTGCCTGAATATATTCTCTCTCTCTCTCTCTTTCCCTTCCTCTCCACCCTCCCCTTCCCTCCCTGCCTTCCTCCCCCTGCCTTTTCCCCCCATGGATTTGGCTCACACAGATACTGAAGATTCTCCACTGCATGGAGCTCAGTGAGTGGCTTCCCCAGACAGAGCGCTGTGTCCACCTAACCCCAAAGGAGTTCTTGACCTGGACAATGGATATTGCTTCCAACGAGAGGTTTGCCCCCTGTTCAATGGAGATACAATGTTACGATCCCATCAGTCATGCGGTGAACCTGTTAACACTCCTGGACTAAGGGGTCAGGTCCTGCATTTCTTTCTAAACTTCAAGCAACAAATGATATCAGAGTTTTACGTTAAAAACCAAAGTTGGGCTGGCAGTAGAGCTCAATTGGTAGAGTGCTTGCCTTGCATGCACAAGTCCCTGGGTTCAATCCCAGCACCACCGCCCCCCCCACCCCACCCCCCCACATAAAAAGTAATGAATAATTGCCTTGAGAGGCATTTGTATGGCCAGGAGGTGGACATATCCAATGTTCACATTTACATGGATCACAACTATCTGCAGAAATTATCTGACTGTATAAAATATATTTGATTTGAATTTGTGTGTTTTCTTACTCTTTCCAGATCTGAAATACAGAGTGTGGCTCTGAGACTTGCCTCCAAAGTGATTGCCTACCACTTGCAGACATGTGAGGAGGTAAGACTGACTCTTTGCCAGTCCTGGGGCCTGGGTTTTTGTGCTCTTAATTACTTGGATGGTGGTAGTAAAAGTCAACTGTTCTAGCAGGAAGAATTACTGTGACCTGTGTACATGGCCTCTACTAAAAGATTGTTCCTGTTGATTATTCACTCAGGGAATTACTAGTGAAGGCTTCTTGATCCCCACGTTTCTTTTCTCTTGTTTTGGGTATTTTTTATTAGAGTCCACAAATGTAACACAGCCTCCCTCAATATACACATGTCCATTGTTTTCCCCCATTTTTGTAACTAGACCATTTAAAGAAGAATAAGCAAGTCAATTAGAATATTTAGAATTGCAATCTAGTGAACTATGAATGAAAATAAATTGCTGAGGCTTAAATGCTCCTCCAGAACATGGCCTAGCAGGCTCTGGGTGGAGGCCCAAGTGTGCCTCACCTGTTTCACATATGCTTTGGGGGTGAATTAGAAATAAACTAAGCAAAACAACTTCCTGGGAAGATGCTTTAAGACAAACGTATATATACTTAGGTGCACACAGGAAAGGTAACCATCACAGAATAATGAAGGCATGGTGGCCAATACCGCAGTAAAATTACACATTTAAAGATCTTAGTCATAGCTGAGTGCAGTGGTGCATACCACCCAGTCCTAGCTTCTCAGGAGGCTAAGGCAGGAGGATGGCTTGAGCCCAGGAGTTCAAAGCAAGCCTCACAACATAGTGAGAACCCATCTAAAAGAAGAAAGGAAATAAAAAATCTTGATTACACATTTCCACAGTGAGATACGAGTGGCATAGCCCTGCATTCTGAGTCCCTAAAATAAACTACTACCAAGATACGTGCTGAAGATGCAAGGGTGACAGAGACTAGAGGTGCAGTCTAATGAGATAGAGGGCATTGAGTCATCACATCAAATGCACAGGTAGGGCTGTGAGAACCCAGAAGAGGAAGGGACAGTTTGGGAGCTGAGGAAGACTTCATAGAAGGAGGTTGTTAAGTTCAGAGAAGTAGAGTCCCAGAGCTTGCTGTGAGGTTAGGGAGGTTCCAGGTGACTTCCACTAGATAGCCACTAGATAGGCTGCTAGTTTCTTTCACAGCATTTACTTTGAGTGTCCTTGGGACATGGGAGGGAGATATTTTGAAATCTAATGGATGTATGGGTCCTAGCTGGTGATTAATCACCTAGCTGGTGATTAGCCCCTGCCTCATGTCCCTTTCCTCCCTGCTATCTGCTGTGCGTCAAGAGCAGTAATCATGTAAATGATGTCACCACAACAGTTAAATTTCAACATGACTTACAGAGGAAGCGTTCAAACCATAGCAAGCAGTACATCTAGAACAACAATTCTCTTTCTAGAAAAAGTAAGAAAACAAAGTATAAAAGATGGCAATGATCCAAATGTCCATAAACTCAGAATGGAATATTACCTGGCCATAAAGAGCACTGGAGTACTGATCTATCCCACAGCATGGATGGACCTTGGAACATTAACCTGAGTGAAAGAAGCCTGTCACAAAAGACCACACATTGAATGATCCCATTTACATGAAATCTCTGGAAAAGGCAAATTCAGAAACCAAAGGTGGACTAGTAGCTGTTTAGGGCTGAGGGATGGAGGATGGAGGAGTGATCGCTAAAGGGCACAGGGTTTGTCTTTGTGGTGATGAAGGCATTCAAAAACTGAATAGATAGAAACAAAAATTGAGTAGATAGAAACATTTACTGTTTGAACATTACACAAGTATACATGTATCAAAACATCACATGGTACCCCATAACATGTACAATTTTTATGCATCAGTTAAAAACTTATTAAACAGTTTTTTAAAAAGCAAGATACAGGGCTGGGGATGTGGCTCAAGCGGTAGCGCGCTCGCYTGGCATGCGTGCGGCCCGGGTTCGATCCTCAGCACCACATACAAAGATGTTGCGTCCGCCTATAACTAAAAAATAAATATTAAAAAATTCTCTGTCTCTCTCTCTCTTAAAAAAAAAAAAAAGCAAGATACAGCTTTGAACAGGTAATCCCAGGAATTTGGGAGGTTGAGGCAGGAGGATCACAAGTTCAAGACCAACCTGAGCAACCTAGCAAGAACCTGTCTAATAATAAAATTAAGAAGGGCGGGGATAGGGCTGGGGTTGTGGCTCAGTGGTAGAGCGCTTGCCTAGCACATGTGAGGCCCTGGGTTCAAACCTCAGCACCACATAAAAATAAATAAATAAAATAATAAAATAAAATAAAATAAATTGTGTCTAACTACAACTAAAAATAAATATTAAAAAGTTTCCTTGGAAAGCTGGGAATGGAACCACCATTTGACCCAGCTATCCCCCTTCTCAGACTATTCCCTAAAGACCTTAAAAGAGCCTACTATAGGGATACTGCTACGTCGATGTTCATAGCAGCACAATTCACAATAACTAGACTATGATACCAGCCTATATGCCCTTCATTAGATGAATGGATAAAAAAATGTGGCATTTATACACAATGGAATATTACTCTGCACTAAAAAATGACAAAATCATGGCATTTGCAGGGAAATGGATGGCATTAGAGCAGATTATGCTAAGTGAAGCTAGCCAATCCCTAAAAAACAAATGCCAAATGTCTTCTTTGATATAAKGAGAGCAACTAAGAACAGAGYAGGGAGGARGAGCATGAGAAGAAGATTAACATTAAACAGGGAGGAGAGGTRGGAGGGAAAGGGAGAGAGAAGGGAAATTGCATGGAAATGGAAGGAGACCCTCATTGTTATACAGAATTACATATAAGAGGAAGTGAGGGGAAAGGGAAAAAAAAATTGCCGCAGTCTGGCTGGGCACAAATAACCAAGCCGCCACGAGGCACTTGTAGGTCAAACAGGAACTCCTTTATTGCCCGAACTCCACCTGCACTCCACCGGAGCTTCCCGGGAACTCGGGAAACTCCACAAGAACTCAAAAGTAGCAGGTGCCTGAGGCAGCAGGAGCCGCCATATTGCGGACAGCAGGGGTCTAATATACAACTGAATACACAGCCTGCCCCAATCCAGCATCATCCAGTCACAGCAATTATACACAGCTTAACTTAATTATCATCATCTTAATGGCTCGCTGGCATCACCTCTCAACCACTTCTTCTGGCAATGCTGTGGCTCTCAACATCAAACAAGGGAGAGAAATGAATTACAGTAGATGGGGTAGAGAGAGAAGAGGGGAGGGGAGGGGACGGGGGATAGTAGAGGATAGGAAAGGCAGCAGAATACAACAGACACTAGTATGGCAGTATGTAAAAAAACGTGGAGGTGTAACCGATGTGATTCTGCAATCTGTATACGGGGTAAAAATGAGAGTTCATAACCCACTTGAATCAAATGTATGAAATATGTAAGAACTATGTAATGTTTTGAACAACTAATAATAAAAATAATTGGGGGGGATGGGATTGTGGCTCAGCAGTAGAGTGCTTGCCTAGCACACACAAGGCCCTGGGTTCAACCTCACACCACATAAAAATAAATAAATAAATAAAATAAAGGTATTGTATCAACTACAACTAAAAAATAAATGTTTTTTTAAGAAGTGGGGAGTGACTGGGGATAAAGCTCAGTGGTAGAGCTCTTGCCTAACATGCACAAAGCCCTAGGTTTAATTCCCAGTACCAAAACAACAACAACAAAACCCCAAGGTATCAAAACATGTAGTAATAAAATAGAATGTGGTGGCTGCACATATTTCTGAAATGTACCAAAGTTCATTGAATTGTTCATTTTAAATGGGTAGATTGCATGGTATATGATTATATCTCAGTAAAGCTGTTACTATTAAAAACAATGGGTCTTTGTTTAAACAGAGTATCAGTTAGGATAGTGCTTTCAAATGTTATAACAGAAATTCATAAACACTGTGGCTTAACCCAGGTAGAAGCAGGTATGGCGTCTTGACAGTGTTAGGCCCCAAGCCTTTCTACTTTGAAGTTCTTCTGTCCTCAACATGTGGCTTCCATCTTATGGTTCCAGATGGTTCCTCCAGCTCCAACCATCTTGTCCAATTTAGCTAACAGGAGGGGGAACCCCAGAAAGCAAAGATGATGGGCATTCCCTAAGGCACATCCTGCCCAGACGCCACTTCCAGTGACATCCCATGAGTTAGACTGTAGTCACAATTTGCTTCTACATATGAGGGAGGCTGGGAAATACAGTGTTTGGGTGGGTGCCCACAGGCCCAGCCAAAAATCTGGGTTCTGTTCCTAAAAATAGGAGGGATATCTGGTTATTGGGTTCAGCAAGCTGCTCTTTGCTGCTATAGTCTTCCTCACAAGGTTGGTCTTTAGCTGTTTAATACACTGGTGTGTGATAACCTGATACGTCAGAAAAGACTTGAGGAACTTGCTGTCTCCTTATAGTGACTCTACATTTCTGAAAGACAGGTCAGATTTGCTTCCTTGGGTTTGTTTAGGTCTGCCTGGTTGGTATAGAAAACAACTAAGAATCTTCTTCCCACTGAGGTAGGAGGTGGTTGCAGAGCAGTTTGATGGAGCTCTCCCCTCTTCCCACGTCAGCCCATGGTTTCCCCTTCAGGGATGCTGATACGTACCTTTTGTGCTTTCAGAGCAGGAACTCGAACTCGATGGCCCCGGAGCTGAAGCAGTGGGTCCAGCTGGTCGTCTTGTCCTGTGGAGACCGCCTCCCCACAGCGTCAAGGCTGGCCGCTGCCGGGGTCCTCACCAGCACGGCACCACTTTTCCTCACTAACCCCCGTCCCATCCTTGGTAAGTGTCGAGGAGGGGGCCTGTTGTACCAGACTCAATGAACTCATGGGTGGGTTCTCCAGGCTGCAAGAGAAGGGAAGGTGACAAGTGGCAGTGTGATCCAGGCCTTGATGTCTTCCCGTGTGTTCCTCCCCTGCGTTTGTTCTCTAGTCACTTTTCACCTACAGCCTCTCAGTCCTCTTTCTTTCAGTCTTATCCTCCCAGCCATTCTCCCTGGAGGTCCAGAGAGCCTCTGTGGTCTGTGTGAAGTGTAAATGTGATCCTTTCTGTCAACACCAGCCAACAGAAATGTTGACAGTCCTCCATGGGTTCCCACTGCCTTCAGGAGAAAATCTAAGCACCTTCCACGGGCCTCACGGGCCTCATGGGCCCTTCCTGTGCCGCCCATGGCCTAGCCCTCCTGCCTCCTTGTCCCCACTCCCCATACAGGCCCTTGGCGTCAGCCTTTCTCCATCAACAAACCACTGCTTGACCAGCTTTTGTCTTTCAAGACTCGTCCCAACCATCCCCTCTTCCAGGAAGCCTCTTCCATGATTAGGTGATGAACATGGGTGAGCGTGAAGCTGTGGAGCGAGGAAGAAGAGGACAGGCTCCAAAGACAATCAGGAAGTAGAGTCCCAGGGCTTGCTGTGAGGTTAGGGAGGTTCCAGGTGACTTCCACTAGATAGCCACTAGATAGGCTGCTAGTTTCTTTCACAGCATTTACTTTGAGTGTCCTTGGGACATGGGAGGGGAGATATTTTGAAATCTAATGGATGTATGGGTCCTAGCTGGTGATTAATCACCTAGCTGGTGATTAGCCCCTGCCTCATGTCCCTTTCCTCCCTGCTGTCTGCTGTGCCTCAAGAGCAGTAATCATGTAAATGATGTTGAAGCAAACCAAACTGGAGGAAATCATCAGGAGAAAAGCATAAGGGACTTTTTGTTCTGTTTTAATTTTTTTAATTATGTTGGTTTGGTTTTAAACATAGGGTTTAATCAGAGGAAAGCCATGTTTCAGTCCTCGCCCCTTCCTCTCCTGCCGTGGTTAATCCTGTATTGCCATGCTCTGGTGTACTTCCCATCTTTTTAGTGGAATTTCTTTCTTTCTTTCTTTCTTTCTTTCTTTCTTTCTTTCTTTCTTTCTTTCTTTCTTTCTTTCTTTTTTTTTTTTTTTCTGCATCTATGCACAGCCCTCAAGAGTAAGACATGGCCCCTGCCTCCAAGGAGTGTTTAGTATAGTTGCAGAGAAAGATTTCCAGAAAAAAGGAAATAACTGGTTTTTAGATGATAAAATTCAAATCTTGAATGTCACTCGAGTTCAGAACAATGAGGTGTCTCATATCCCTGGATCTCTCTAGGAGACAAAATTTTATTTAATATCCTTTCCCGTCTTCTTAGTGACATCTAGGCACTTTTCTTATACCCAAAGGGGGATTAAGAGGGAACCTTCAGTGATTATGATTTAATCATTGGACCCAGAGGAATATGAACAAAGGATTATAAACTTTAGTGGGGGTGGGAGGTGCACCTGTAGTCCCAGCACCTCAGGAAGCTGAGATGACATACCCAGGAGATTGAGGCCAGCCTGGGCAACATAGCCAACTCTTAACAACAAAATGGGGCATGGATGTCAAGTTTCTCCAATAAGATTAATACCATTTTGCAGTACATCTTCTGGGTAACTGGCTACTGTAGCCCTGATTCTTAGCAGCCAAATTTGTGTAGAATAACCTGGAATTCCTGTGTGGAATTGAGTCCTGGACAAAAGCTATTGATTCATAATGGATTGCTGATGCGGAGTGAAGCATTATAGAAATGAGGAAGGAGATCAGTGGTAGCTGGTGGCATATGAGAACATGAAAAACAGGCACTGATTAGAGAGACCAAGGGTGTATGAGGACAGGTTGAAATGGACTTAAGAGGGGAGGATTTTAACAATATAGATGGCCATGTTAAAGAGGGAAATATTAATAAGGTAGGGACCCTGCAGACAGAGGATGGATTCTGAGACTGAGTAAAGGGCTGGTGGGGCCACTCAGTGGGAAAGTGCTCGCCCAGTGTGCTCAAGCCTCGGTTCAACCTCATACCACCCAAAAGGAAGCTACTCAACTCTGAAAGACTGAGTAAAATTTAAAGCCAGATCTGAAACAGAAAGAGAACAAAACCCCAAATGGAGCCGTTTGTGCTCTTGGTTTGACTAAAGCGCCAGCAGCTCTGAGATAGCAGGTTCTCTGTGGACAGATGAGAGAGAGAGAGTATACCAAGAGGAGTTCTTGGGACAGGAGGACTTTCCTGTTGCAGGAAGAAGGTGACACGTGGTCTGCCATGGCTCTCCACTGAGACCCTCCACACAGCTCTGCCTGCAGGATAGGGGTCCTGTCTGTGAGGCCTGCCTACCTCTCCTTGTCCTTGTGAAGTTTGTCCCAGGTTCAGTAGTCCTTTGTGATCTTTATGATCTTTCCCTATTGTAAGTCACTGCCTCCTATTTCCTCCATGACTACTCATGGCCTTGTGTCCTGGACTTCATATTCTTTTCTGTTGTTCAAGGGCAGATACCATTCTTAGCAGCAATTAGCACAGTCTGACCAGCAGAGTCAGTACCCCAAGGAATGGCAGCATCAAGAGGACTCCCCTCCCCCCCTCCCCCCTGCCCTACATACAAGTGACATAGGCTGGTGCATTTTTCCTGTGTCCTTGCACTTTTTTCATTCTTTCCCTAAGGCATGATCTTTTTTTTTTTTTTTTTTTAGGTACTCGGTTATTCTACTATTGAACCACACCCTCCCCCCAACCTTTTTATTTCTTATTTTGAGACAGAGTCTTGCTAAATTACCAAGGCCTGCCTCAAACTCGTGATCCTCCTACCTCAGCCTCCTGAATCACTGGGATTACAGGCATGCACCACCATGCTTGCCCAGAGCAAAATCTCGATTAACACTTTGTGGTCATAATTGATGCATATCAACATTGGGCTAGTTTCTCCAAAGCACTTTTCATGCATAAAGTCATGACAATCATGACACTGGGGAGAACTGGGACTAGAGCCTTTGTCAGCCGGGCAGTATCTTCCAGGAGCCTTACCTGTAACTAGTTGCCTCCAGAAAGCCTGCCCCTACTCCTGCCCCACCCCCACCCCCCAAAATAGACATTTCCATTAGGACCCTCTGTATCCCAGTGTTAGTCCGACTCTCAGGTCCTCCTATCTTGCCATCCCCAGAAAAAAAGGAATGGCTGTTGCTCATTCCATGTACTCTCCTCCACCGTGGGGTTGAGCCTTATTGGTACCTACTTGCCAGCTACATCTAGGTAATTTGAATTCCCTCTGGTCTCCTTAGAGTTGCAGGACACACTTGCTCTCTGGAGGTGTGTCCTCACCCTCCTGCAGAGTGAAGAACAGGCTATCAGAGATGCAGCCACAGAGACCGTGACGACAGCCATGTCACAAGAAAACACCTGCCAGTCAACAGGTACCTCATTCTTATCCTTTTCATTGCTTATTGCTCTAGGACAGAGTTTTCTGTAAAGAGCCAGAAAGTGGGTATTTTAGGTATTCTTGGCCATTCAGTCTCAATCTCAGTTCTGCCACTTTAGTGGGGAAATAGCCATGAATAATAGGTAAACAAATGAGTACAACTGCATTCCAATAAAACTTTATTTACAAAAATAGGCAGCTTCCCAGACTTGATCTGCTAGTCATCATTTGCTGACCCTTGCTTAGAACATCCTAGAGAAAAAATTGTTTCCTAAAGTAGAAATTTAATAAGCAATGTTTGGTCTTTTGTTAATTACATTGTCATCTGTTTTAAATAAAGCCAGGTCTTTATTACGTGTGTGGTTACATAACCCAGGAATCACAGAGCCATCCTTTTGTTCCTACGTGAGTTTTTACATGTGACAGACACATGTAAGTTAAGTTTTCCTCTTTGTGTCTTGGCTCCTGATTTGGTAACAATATTAACCCCAGAGGCAGAAGAGGGGAGAAGGAAGAAGAGTGGCCTTGATGGGTAGCTTGGGGCTCATATCCGCAACATAAGCTGTCACAGCCCTGGGTCTGGGTTTGTCTGTACACCGTAGAAGCAGAAGGGGACTCGCCCATGGGTAGAAAGGGGCTGCTGGGTGGAAGGACAGGAAGCAGGTAGAGTACTAGCAGGGTCACATGTTTGGAAGTGGCTATCTAGGAAAGTGGCTGCTTTGGTGGACTTGGATTCCCTCTGCTTAGGGCTGGATGTCCAGAAAGGTGGCTGGGTCAGACCATTCTGAGGCAAAGGGTCACAAACTGAACAAAGAAGTTCCCCTTAATGGACATCTGAATGGGAGAGGAAGAAGCCATTCATGGGCCCTGTAGGGCCCTGCGTCCTCATGGCAAAGGCTGCTCACTAAGGCAGTACACAGGGCCATGTTCCCTAGAGGGTCCTGTGGGAACTTGTCCGTTTCTGAGTCCTTAGTCTTAATGGCCTAGGTGCATTTCTCTGCATATAAGGAAGAAACTAGTTTTTGCATAATCTCTCGGTGACACTACTTCAGGGCAGGTTTAGCAAGCCCAGCTTTGCTACTCGCTAGGAGAGCATTCAGATGGTGCTTCCAGTAACATAAAGCCATATCCTTCCACCCAGCCCCTAACGGACCTCCTCCATATCTAAAATTCTGCTAATCCCCATTCATTCCTCTTTCTGACTACAGTCTTTCCTTGCAGTGCTTTCAGCAAGTGCTCAGTAAATTGTTGGTGGAACATAATACTCATTCACCACGGCCCTTTCCACTGAAGATGGAAGGAATTTCATAGTGAAGTCAGAGTGGATTTCTCTCTTAATCTTTAACCTGCAATATTTTCCCTACTACTCTAATAATTTTATTCAGAGTTTTTTCAAGTTCCTTAATACAACTTGATTTTCTTAAGCATAGAATCTTTCTGCTATAGAGCCAAGGTTGTGGCCCAGTGGTAGAGAGCTTGCCTAGCACATGTGAAGCACTGGGTTCGATCCTCAGCACCACATTAAAAAAGAAAAAGTAAATAAAATAAAGGGAAAAAAAAAGAATCTTTCTGCTTTAGACAGAAGGATAGCTAAGGACTGAGAATCACCCCTGATTTTTGACTTTTGATGGTTTAGCCAGCTGATTTGCCAGATTTGCAGTATTGTCATGTTTTAGCATTTCCAGGGTATGAAGCAACTGACAGTAACTTCCCCAATCCTTCAGCATACCAGAATTTTGTAGAATGCACTGCTGATAGTTTTTCTCTTTGATAGGTCCAAGGAAGTTATCCCTGTTAAATCTTGAATACCATAAAAATACCTGTTTATTTTGTCCTACAGATCAATGATTTGGTAAATACAATGGTAAAACAATATGATTAAATTATGTTTATAATTAATGTCTTCTTTGAGAAGTCAAAATTGCAATGAAAAAATTAAATTAATTCTTACTTTCCATCCAAAGAAAGAAACCAGGAGCCCTCCACACAGTAAATGGGGACTGGATACAGAAAGAAAGAGCTTTGCTGTTGAACATCTACTGATGGCCTGCCTGGGGACCAGGGAGAGGTGTGGGGTGATTCTCACTGTGGGGTCTGGAAAGGGTCTGGAGAGTGGAGCTGTCCAAAGAAAGGAATTTTGAATGGGACACAGATGAGAGCAAAACAACACAAAAGGCAAAGCTGCGCCAAACCTAGAGTTGGCTGGGAGTTAGGGGGACTTGGGAGCTGATAGAGCAGCTGCCAGTGGACATGTGTGGTTAGAGGCCTGGCTGGGGCCTGCTGAAGGAGGGGAGCAGGAGGTAAAGCTAGGAGGGAAGGAAAAACAATGCTAGGCTGCAACCTCATCTGTAGGCAGCAGGAGGCTGCAGGGGGGTTCAACAGGAGAGTAACATGCATGTGTTGAAGGAGCTCCCTCTAAGAGCCAGGTATAAGATGGATCATGACTGGTGGTGAGTGAAGGGAATCAAGGGGAAGGGAGACCAGTTGAGAGGTGGTGTTGACAATCCTCATAAGCTGCCATCAGTGGTGATGGATGGGGAGGGGAGGATGTATTTGTGAGAGGATTGGGGGAAACTCAGCAGACTGCTGCTCATGGGAATTGAGAGAGAAGGAAAGCATGAGATGAAGTCAAGGCTTCAAACCTTCAAACCTGGGAGGCACCCAGGGAAATACCTGGCTGTGCCTCTGGCATTGATGTTGAGCTGTGGCATTCCAGGAAGTGAAATTGCCAGGAACCAGGAAAGGCACTCGGGCTACAAGGCATTGTGATCTGGGACAAAGTATTCTTTTTTTTTTTTTTTTTTTTGTAATTTTTTTTTCATTGTAGATGGACACAATATCTTTATTTTATTTATTTTTATGTGATGCTAAGGATTGAACCCAGTGCCTCATGCATGCAAGACAAGCACTCTACCACTGAACTACAATCTAGCCTCTGGGACAAAATACTCTTTAGGCCTTGAGAAGATCACAGTGGAAATCGAGAGGGCAAACGGGGACCTTTATCTCTGGTGTAAACAGAATGAAGTGTGCAGGCTCTGTCCTGTCCTCTCCAGAACACAGCCCAGCTATCCAAGGGCCCCTCTACTCCTTACCAGAGTTAGTTGTTGGTCCCAGTGGGCACTGGCTACAACCTGTAGAAGAGCCAGCATTGACTCCACTTGTTTACACTGCACCACCTAGCACATATTTTTGGACACAGTGACTCTAGGTATAGATTTGTAGTATGAATTGGTTAATGATTCTAGAAGACTTAAAGAAAATAACTCAGTGCTCAAATGGCCTCCTGGGGATGTTGGGTGCGTTGTTGTTCTTTTTTCCTGCTGGTTCTCCTGGTGTAGAGTACACACTTCACCCTACCTGGGCCACCTGGAAGTGTGAAACTAACAGCCTGCAAACAACTCTGTCACATCTGAAGCTCCCTCAGCCTTGGCAGTCACGTTAAGGGAGACCCACAGCAGGCCCTCCCAGCCCACCTCTTCCCTCCATGTCAGTCACAGGGGCTACAAAGAGGGGACAGAAGAAATAGCCTTTCTAGGACTTAAGAATAGGGGAATGGGGCTGGAGTTGTGGTTCAGTGGTAGAGCACTTGCCTAGCATGCATGAGAAACTGGGTTCGATCCCTGGCACCACATAAAAATAAATAGAGGAGACTATCTTTTCCACCCAAACAGTTCACCTGTTTTATGTGCCATATTGGGTTTAATGTCAGAGTATGTTTGAAAAGGGCTTTCGTGTGGGGAACAAACAATCTGGACAATACTTATTAGGAGACATTTCTGTGTGGTCATAGGGGTCTCTGGAAGCTGGAGAGGCTGTGGGTGATGGGGCAGGGAGGGGCCGGCCTCCTGAACCCCTCCCTCCCCAGCATTGGCTCTCCCTTTCCTCCCCTCTCAGCCTTAGGTAGGGTTTGCCACCCTATCCAGATGGCCTCCTCCATGTCTCCCTTTCCATTTGTGAAATTTGGGGGGGAAAGTTTCTGTGGAACAACGAATGATATAGGTTAAAAAAAAAAAAAAAAAAGGAGCCATTTCAAAAGGAATTTTAAAGGGCTGCAGACTTCATACCCAGTGTCAGTGTTTAGGTTCAAGAAGGTTGACTTCACAATGGAAACTTTCTTATGAAAAAAAATATAAAAGACTTGGAGAAAGATGGAGAGGAAAGGAGGAGAAAGAGACACAAACACAGATATAACCACATGGGGCTTTTTTCTTTGGAGTACAGGCTTCAAGTCATTTTGATCCCATCTTCCTGCAGACCTTTAGTCATGCTCAACTTCTGCTCATCCTCCTACCCTTAGGAATGTTTGGTGGTGATGTATTACATCCCCCCTCCTCCATGACACCTCTGCCCTCCAGGATCTCCCCTTTCTCTGAACCACCATAACTCTGGACATCATGTCATCCCAAATAGCCCTTGCTTTCCTAATCACTTGTCATTTTTCTCTTTCATTTCATTTTCTACCTCCAACTAGCTCACGAGCTTATAGAGACTGTCTTCTATTAGGTACACAGCAGGTACACAATTTGTGTTGATGACTTAATCTTTCACCCCAGCCAGTTGCTTGTCCCCAAGGAGACTCACCATGCCCTTTGTAACAAGAAAGCTCTAGAACAAGCAGACAGACGCTCCCCGCTAGAACTAGTTCAGGGGGCACCACTGGCATGAATTCGTGCACACTGCTGTGGCAGGCTTTCTAGATCACTGTCTGGGTCTTTTCAGTTCAGGAGTTTGCAGCTCTAGAGTTTGGCCCCTCCTTATTTTACCTCTCAGGTTTACATCTCAGACTGCAAAGCCAGGGAGCCAGCCTGGGGCACTGGGTTCCTGGATTTGGGTTAACTAGGAGACATCCAAGGAGCCTCCAGGCTTGGCATGATGATGCATAGAGGCTCGGGAACAATGATGAAACCTAGCAGAGAGGTGGAGAGTGAGTGAACACAACAGAGAGGACAGTATGAGACTCTGAAGTAGGAGAACAGGGCAGAAGGCAGGTGG